TTTTGGTCACAAGCTGCTCTTTCTGGCCAACAAATCCTCCTAGTGCGATAATTAAACCTAATATTTATCGGTCTTTGACTTTAATTGCCCATTTTTGCAGTTACAGAAACCGACTTGAAACCAATTTACATACACGAACTGTCCTCTCACCTTGTCAATGTTTAATTTACGGACATTATTTGGCTGCAAATAATGCTGCAAAATACCTGGCCATTGAACCACCACCGCATAGTATTCAGTTTTATTGATTTAAGCCCAAATTGACCGAGAACGAACAGGCTGATACATTTTATAGTCGAGGGCAAACAGTCCAAATGAGCTGCCCATTAAGTCGAGTGTTAATGTTAACGTCTTCCTACTTGTGTGTCCCATAATTAATGGACTACACGCTCATTTTGCAATAGTCCAACGATCTGTCCACAAACGGCGAACAAATAGTAGACTCTTGCATAATTAACGTAGAATTAGGAATGCCAACACTTGGCTAGGGCTCTTCAAATATTTGACAGAGCCATAAATCTCCCTAAGCTTTGAGGACTCTACCCGGGACAAATATGTTTGCGGAGGTTTTGGATAATTATATCTTTGAAAACCTGCAATTAAACGTGCATTCATGGTAAATTTTAATTTTAATGTATATTTATGGCCTCTGCTTTGAACAATCTAGCATCTAATGTACAGCTCATTTTGCTGCTTAGACAGTTAAGTTCTTCAATGTGCAACTTAGTTGCTTAGAAAATTCGTATTGCACAAGAAAATATTTAAAAAATATTGCTCGTCAAAAAATGCCGTCTTAATATTAATATATTGTATTCATATGTTTTTACATTGCCATAACATGCTGACATTTACACGCATGGGCAAAAATAAAATTACATTTTTGTAAGCTGAAAGTTTCTTTATTACTGCAGAGTTGTTTCCTGCCATATGCAGATATGCACGGATGGACAGAAATGAATTGGGCGTAAATAAATCAATGACATGGAAGGGCTCGAGTGTTACCCATTCGGTGGTCCATCCGCAGAGGGAACCGGAATCGCAGCTGGAGGAGATCCGAGATCCGAGCGGCGAGATAAACAAATCGCACGAAGGGGAGACTAATTGCAGCCTGTTTGCGGAGTGGTTGCTTCTGCAGCTGCTGGCTTTGTGGGTTTTATCTTTTAATTTGCCACAAAACGCACAAAGTGCATTCAACACTCGGCTCCGCAGCGTGTGTGGGTGTGGATGTGGGTGTGCACAGTTGGATCAGCGCGTGTGTGTTTGTGCGGGAAGACCGAGCCGAACTTACTGCCCAAGCCTGGGAATCCTCTCACTTTTTTCACATGCACTCTCCATTGTAGCCGTGCATCCATGGGATGCGGCTGAGCTGACGATGATGAAGATCCCAGCTGCCCGGCCAGCTCGACTGGCTGCCTGCTGCCTGCTGACTGCTGGATATGACACAGATTACGTAACGCGAAATTAACATTTTAACACAATTCAGCTGGAAGAGAAGACGATGACGCGGCTGCAACGTCTGGCACAGCATCAGTCGGAGAAATATGACAAGGAATTTCATCTTTAATCAAGCAGACCGCATCCTAAAATACTCTTTTCAGCAAAGATTGCTCTTCAAGATCGATAAATTCTATCAATAACCATAGTTCAAGGACGGTTTTTATGGAACATTACAACTTACGACTATTTTTTATAGCATAGTTCGGTTGAATATACAAGTAACTAGATTTTGGGCGCCTAATCAAAGTCTAATATTGTCAGGCGCTTGAAAATTATAGATACCCCTTGTGAGGCATATAAATGCAAAAGAGAAAAAGCAGAAATGGAACCCGTTGTGGATTGGACTGGTGGCCGCCTCCTGTTTGGGACCTGCCCAGTTGGACGGGGATGGCTCATCAGTCTGCATCTTGACCATCCACGGCCCGGCCAACAGGGGCTCAAATATCGGGAGGATGACGGTGGCGATAATGATCACAATGACGCTGAGGACGATGGACGATGGCCAATGCATGGGCACTTTCTGGCCAAGAGTTACGCCTCTTGCAGTCAATTATGCAATTAACGATTTGCCAGCAAACAAGAAGCAATCGCGCCAAACGATCCGCGTTTCCCCCACATTACACATTAGTAGTGGACACTTTGACAAAACAGACTCAAATGGCAGACGGCAGATGGCAGATGCAAATGTTGGCCAGCAGATCGATAGTAGGTTGTGCAAAAAAGAAGAAAAAAAAAAGGGTGAAGAAGTAATGGCGATACACGTACTCGATCCACAGCTGCAGTCGTCCGCTGACAACTATGAAGTGTCATCGCCCCAAGTCAGCAATAATATTATTCCTCCCCTCGGATCTCCGAATCCGACTGATTGTTTTGCCCGCGGTGTGTTTCCCAGCAATTAAGTGATGGACTGCGATTTGCAACTCGTGCAAACAAATTTGGAAAACACTTGGCAGATATTGAAAAAGTGCATTGGAAAAGGGAATGCCATTTGTCTAGGAAAAATAAAGTGAATTATCGCGATCCAGTGACCATACATACGTATGTCTTTTATATTTGTTAGTAGAATTATGCTTTAATAGTTATTCCGCGCGAGTCACTCATAAATCCTTCCAGTTGCCCCACTCAAGCAATTAAGCCTGAGCAAGATTACCCAATAAACTTGTAGTTTTCAATCGACTTTTAACAACGGGCGACAATTACGCTTTCGAGGAAACTGCGACACACAGTCGTGGTCCCATGGGGAGATCGAGCAATTTGCTAATCATTTCAGCTGCCAATTGGCAAAAATGTTCGAAAGACGATGAGACACAAGGAAGAAATTGTCAACGATGGACGATGGCAGCGAACTGAGCGAAGGGAGCCGTCATGAGAAAATGAGAAATCCAAGTCAGCAGAAATTGTTGCCGAGTTAAGTAACCAAATAGCTATTGGTAGCCACTTTTTGGGCAACTGCATCGAAGGATGGTCAGAGCTTGGACACTGGGGGGGCTCGGTTGGAGCCACTGCATCGCAAAAGTGAATGGCAGATGAAGCTGCATTGCCTTGGGCTGAAATTGGGTAACATTGCACAGCGGTGGGCGAAACTGTCAGCAATTGTTTTTGTTTCCATCTTTTGGCAGATGAAGGAGTCCCTGTCGGGTGACTGTCTGATCTCTGGGATTGGGCAGTCATTGGGCCAACTGTGGCACTCTGTGCCTGCGTTTCCCAGCAAATGCGGCGCTGTCCACCATTAAAAAGAGTCAAAAGCTTACTTTAAAAGTGAGTTCATTTCAAGCCAGACAACATTAAAACATATAAGATATTAGAAAAAACTTAAGAAAATGATATGAATCTCAAAGAACTAAATCATTTTTAGGATAAGATGGTTTTCCAATTTATCATTTGGTCAGCTTAGGTTTTGGCCAGCTCCCATGTGCACATTTTTGGCCAACTGGCTTTCGGCTCTCTTCCTCTTTTGCTCAGCTGCACAATTGGCCATCGACTTTGGGGGCTTGTTTGACAAGTAATGTGGTTACGTGGTGCTCCCATCCCCACCCTCATCGCAATTGATTTCCTGGAAGACCACAAAACGCTGGATGGCATCTTCAGACGACGAAGGCGAAGGCGACGACTACAACGACTGGTACGCAGACGCAATGGCAATCTCGTTGGATCGCAAAGGCTTCAGCTGGCAAGTGGATAGGTTCGGGGACCCCTGTACCAAGTACGGACCACATGCACCGCATAAATCTTTTCTCATTTACTTTTGCCGAAACTCGGCTCGTGCAAGTTTATTGTAAATAGTGTCTGCGCCTTGCACCGCGCGATTATGTGAGCATTACATGCCATTTGACACGCTGCCACAGCCCCAAAATACGCCAACAGCCCAAAAAAAAAACACAGAAAATTGCTTAAGAAGTTAAAACTTCAAGCACACTATCTTATGTAAAAGCATTTTATGAAACACACTAATAGCCGTTGGCTCAAGCAAACCTAAACAAATCTTAAGACATGGCTTTGCTTTATCCACTTTGACGTTAGAAGTGTAGAACTCTTCATTATTGGTAGCTAAGAAAGCTGCTATTTTTTCACTGAGCCGTACAAAATGTGAGATTACCCACTGCTAGGGTATACCATCAACAGTGAGGAGCAGGAAGCCAGCCTGGCACGCTTGCTCCCCATTGACCCCAGATTTTTCTCCGGCTGTTGGGAGCAAGAAAAATAGGGGAAAAAATGCAAAATCAAATTCAAGATTGCTGCTTCGACAGCTGTCGTCATCGTGGTTGTCGTTTCCACAAACTCCGGCCTGCTGATGGCTCAGTTTGAGCCAGGGCTTCGTCTTGGGTCTGAGCTCCCTCGGAGCAGCCAACAAGTGGGGCTTGTCATTGACTGCAGATCGAGGCACTGGCAAGGTGCTGCGATTGGGGTTAAACTGTAGAGTCAACACAACGCAAACAGGAGATGGTTTGAATTATGCAAGAGGAGTTTTGGCAAGGAGATTACTGGCATTTGCTTAAATTATAAGTTCAAAATATATATAGGCACACTGATTGGAAAATATTTACTAATAATAAAAATTAAGTAAATTCGAGGGTCCGTTAAAGTGCTCATTGAACAACTTTATTTGCTATCCGTCTTTAAAAACTCCGTGAGTATGCGGGCACGTTTTTTAAATATTGGTCGTTGCTTAGAAATAGTTAGGCATGGTAAAGAAAAGAAAAAATAACTAAAACAAATTAAAACAGTCATTGATTGTCTGTGCTTTGGTTTAAAAAGATCAACAATCAATAAATGTATCTACAACTTATATCTTATACTGGAATGATGTACTATATTAATTCAGTTCGTTGCTTTGGTACTTTCAGTTGTTTCCCAGTCCCCATATATTTTCCCACAAAACCCCTTAGCCATGGGCACTCTCACGGGGATTTGATTGGACGGAAGGGTCAATTTTAAGCGCATATTAGTTTTTGCGGTGGCTGAAAAGGGGAGATTCAGGGTTTCAGGGTTTCGAATGCACTCACCTTCCGTTTGGAGCGTGCCATCCGCTGGTCGCGGGAGGACTCCGCCTCGCCTGGCGGTCTCTTTCCCCAGACGCGGATGGTGATCCGGGTGTAGGTGAAGATGAGCACACCCAGCGGCACGACGAACTGCAGCGCGAATAGGGACAGGGTGTAGTAGTACTCCTGCGTCCGCGATGGCCAAATCTCGCGGCAAATGTATCTGATGGATGCACGCGCATAAAGGACATCACATGCAATGAGGGGACAGAGACGGGTAGCAGTGCATTAGTTTGAAGTGGTCAGCTCTGGTGGTCACCCAGAATCTGCTGTCACAGAAGGACACCCGCATATGCGCTCATAGACTCTCGGTTGAGTGCACAGTTTCATTTTAATGCCAAGCCCTTCAGGCTGTTGCAAACAGTTTGCTCCTGCAAAACCTTTTCTCATTATTCTCATTTCAGGTGAGTTTCAGTTGCATCTATGTCAAGTTTCGCGATACAACATAATAACCACTTTCAGTCTAATATTAGCAATGACTTGTAGAACGTGGCCGGCATGCATATGATTTAAATTGTTTGTGTGGGAAGGTGCTTAAATGTGCGTAATACATTAAATATGCTCTCCACTTGACCTCCATGAACCCAGCACCCTTTGCTCTTTGTACGGCCAGCTTTTAGGCATAATCGTCTTGACACGGAGATACAAATGCAAAGTAGGAAAAACACTCGCCAAAATTAAATTTCTAAAAATGTATCTGTTAAATATACCACAAACTTCTCATAACTAAGAATTGATGAAATAAATGTTCTTCTCCGCATGTGAATAATATCAGTCCATAATAATCGGTCACATTTTGTTACTTTTGCTTGGTGCTTGAAGTGGTGGTACTTACTTCTCACATTTCTCGTGCCAGGGCGACATGGGGATCTCGAGTCCAGAGACGATGGGTATGGGCAGTGCTGTGGCAAGTGCGATGAACCAAACGCAGCCGATGATGTAGGTAGCATAGCTGCAAAAAATGGGTTGTTGAGTTGAATGTTGGTTATTTTCGACATATTGTACGCTTCTTTTGTATTCCAACGTTTACTCTTATAAAATGTTGCACTTACTCCCGATTCAACGGGGCGTATGAGTGATGCTGTGTGTTGATGGAGCTCGGTTTGTTTTGGCTCAAGGAGCGCTCCTCTGTAGCTGCGTGCTGATAAATTGCAGTCATGTTGAATAATTACTAGCCTTATTGACGTTATGTCCCCGCAAATATTTGCAGAAGCCACGAAGGATGACTTTCGTAGCCCACAACTACTATCAAACACAGTCACGCACCCGCAAACATTGACGTCAGCTGGATTTCCATTTGGACAACACAGCAAAAAGCGAAGTTCAGTTTGCAAAGCTAATAAAATCTTAGCTTAAAACGGACATTCCTTCAAAAATAATTTGTAATGTTATTTAATTTATTTTATTGATTTACTTTAGAAGAACTAACTTATTTGAATAATTTGAATTTTTCTCTGTGCACATAATATATAACAGACATTAAAAGTCGTCCGAGCGTGAAATACTCATGCCAGCTCTTGAACTCGGCGGAAAATGAGATGGATGTCAGTGGATGGACACCGAGGGTTGGCGGATTTTCCGAGGGAAACCCGTTGTATTCAGTTACCAAGCAAATTGACGCATGGCTTGGATTTGCTGGGTCTCGGATTACCATATAAGCCAATCAACACTGTGAGCCGTCTTGCTAAAAGCCTACCGGTACGCCATTCCCTGGGGATCGCAGCTTAGGTCAAGTGGTCAAAGTGGACACAAAAGTAAATACCACAGTGTCCACTTAGCGCTGACTAGACACGCCAATGTGCAAACTCTTGGCAAACGCTTGTGGAGAAAGTACTTAAATTCATGGCTTTTCTATTTTCCTAGTTGATGAACACCTTTATTTGGCTTACTGCAAATAGTTACGGCTATATAAATTTATTACGCGAATAAAAGTGATAACATTAAAAACGAATTTCATTTCAATGCCAAACTAATGGTAAGAAAAAAGTACATGAAATAAATTCACACCGAAATTATCATTTAATTTTCCCTACTTTTGAATATTCTTCTTCTGTATGCAATTAATCTGCTATGAATAAAGTCGTAATTAACTTTATTTGAGGACTTACCGTTTTGTGATGCGTGGCTTTAGTGGCCACATGATGGCTATGTATCGGTCGATGCTGATGGCCACCAAAGTATAGGCGCTAACCAGAACGGAGACCGCCTGCGAGTAATTCACGAAGTGGCAGAGGGCCAGGCCGAAAGGCCAGTAGTTCAGGATAAACAGCGAGATGAAGGACGACGGAACGCAGAAGACGGACATCAGGACATCGCCCACGGCCAAGCTGGCTATAAAGTAATTGGTGACCGTGCGCATTCGCGGTGTGGACTGGACGATATAGCAGACCGTTCCATTGCCGATCAGAGCGAAGATGAAGATGGGAATGTACAGCATGTAGACGATGCTCTTAAAGTAGCCACTGGACCACATGTCCTCCGATTGAAGCTCATTGCGGTCGCAGCTGAAGTTCATCATTACAGTGATATTATAGGTCTCCAACTGGAGGCCACTGAGCGTCGTTGTGGAGCCATAACCATAGTTAGACTCTTCATCGCCCGACGGCAGTGCAGTGGTATTGTAAACAAGGGATGCAGCGTCCGGCAGGCTGAGGGATCCCTCCTGGTAGTCATCCTCCTCGTTTCGCAGCAGCGGCTGCTGGGGAGCTATGTAGAACATCTTCTCGCTACCCCCAGTCAACCGATGGCTATTGTGGAGCTCCATTCAAGCGCGTCAATGGGCGGAAGTCAAACTCTTAGGCCAAGTTGAAGTCGTGGAAAACTTTGTTCAGCATTCTGGGCAAGAATCCTTTACGGTTAGCAGCCAGCCTGCAAGTGAAATTTAATTACATCAGTTTTTAAAATATGTGCTGCACTACATTGCGGCTACTTAATAATTCATTTAATATAATGGAACGAAAAACATTGCATACTTTTGGGCGCCTGTCAGTATAAGAGTTTCTCGCTTAAGCTAATTTTAAAAAACTATGCAGGCAAATGAATTTAGTCTCATAATAATTTAAATTTATATTTATTTAATTTCTTAGAATCATGGGAAAGATTATCATCAAATGCAATCCAGTTGCCTTTAGAGTCTAGAAATTTTGGGGATAAAAGTAATTTGAGTACGAATAAAAAGTAATTTAGGCAATGGTCTATACAAACGTTCCTGTATCCGACGCATGTATGTAAGCTTCGTTTGGTTTAAATAACTTTCTGAATGAACTCTGGCATCGACTGACAACACTCATTACCCAAACACTCTGTCCCACCAACCAGCAAAAATGTTATCAAGAGGGTAAATTGGTTATTTCAGATCAATAAAATGGTTGCGAATTTCGCAAAGGCCTAAAAATGTACGGAGCCTCTTTTTGTCATTTATTTTGCTGGCATCCATGTTGATTTTTTATCAATTATCCTGGCAAATTCTTCGACCTAGGGTTCTGTCAATATATCTCATGTCAGGCCACTTCCGCTCATTATTCCGAGAAAATGCTTGGGAGTTTACTCGTTAATGTTATTCAAATAATTCAAATTCAAATCAGGCATTCGATGAGCTAGCTATGAAATTAAATTACGCTTTACTTGAAGTGTGCTTAGATAACGTACAAAATGAAGAAGCTATAATGCAATTTAAAAATAGCCCATCTAAAGTTCACGTTTCAGTTTTTTTTTTGACTGATAGCTGAAGGTTTTTCTTTGGTACTTAATAAAAGGACAGGTTGAAATGCATAGGCCAACAACATTATTATACGCAAGGTGCCAATCAAAAGTATGTCTACCGAGCTGCACTTAATTAAAGAGCATTTCATTAATTTTTGATTAACAATTATGTAAAACTGCAAATGTGTGCCGAGAATGCCGAAACAGGTGAAATAATTACATGTTGTTAGGACGTCATTTGGTATTCTGCTGGTACAACCCAATATCAAAAAATAAAAATGTGCAAAGGCTGAGCAAATAATTGCAAATTAAGGGAGGCACCAGAGACTGAAGCCCTTCAATATAATGTTGGTAAAAAAAAGGGAAATCACGTACAATTCGAGCTGTAGATATGTGCGTCATTAAAAATATAATAACGTCTTGCGTTTTCCTGGAAAATGGGCAGCAGTTCATATTTTTTTGAGCTTGCTTAGCGGTCTTTTAGGCTGAACGCAAAGATTATTTAACATTATAACTAGGCACTCGAGAAACATTAAAATACTTTGGAAAACCACAGTGTGTTAAACAATTGCCTATAAGGTCTTTACAGCGGCTAATAGAATTATCGTTTTGCTTTAGAAAAGTCGTCAAACCAAGATAACCAGCTTATATCAAAAAGACTAACAAATTTTCTCTACTATTCATACTTTAATGGAATTCAACCTTTCGACGTTGCAAAAAAATCTCTGATAATAAGCGTCACAGAAATACAATAGTCTAGAGAGCCAACTAAAGCCAGCCTATCAGTAGATAAAAATGCGATCAGATTCGGAATTCCAAAAAATGAAGAAAACTGAACAATCAGATTAATTTAATGTACCCATACCACCTAGTCAGCCAAAGTAAAGCCTTACGATCTAATCTATTGATAAGTCGCCCACCAGGGGACCTATAAAAGACACTGTTGGCGAACTGAATAGCCATCAGTTGTGGGCTCTACTAGAATATGAAGACTTTCCTGATTTTGGCAATCTTTGCTCTAGTCGGTAAGAACAGACACATATTGCGAATCCCTCAGAAATGCCTTTAGCAATGCCATATGCTCCTTCTAACAGCTTCGGCTTATGCTCTGGAGGAATCCGAGCGCGTCAACGGGGAGAACGGCTGGTACGTTCCCCAGGAGGACGGCTCCTTCGAGTGGGTGGACATGGATGTGGCTGAGGAGTGGATGGAGGCCCAGGAGAAGCTCGAGGGCCGTGGCTTGACCACCGTTCCCGTGAACTTTTACCTGTACACGCCCAAGAACCCCTCCAGCAGCAAGCACATCTACGCCACCACCAAGTCCATTTCCAAGTCCAACTTCAACCCTGCTCACCCCACCCGTTTCGTGATCCACGGCTGGACCCAGAGCCACTTGAACAGCATGAACTCGGACATCCGCAAGGCCTTCCTCTCCAGAGGAGACTACAACGTGATCGTCGTCGACTGGGCCCGTGCCCGCTCCGTGGACTACGCCACCTCCGTCATGGCTGTCGGCGCCACCGGAAAGAAGGTTGCCAAGATGATCAACTTCCTGAAGGACAACCACGGTCTGAATCTGAACGACGTGTACGTGATTGGTCACAGCCTGGGCGCCCATGTGGCTGGCTATGCCGGCAAGAACACCAACGGCCAGGTGCACACCATTGTGGGTCTGGACCCTGCCCTGCCCCTCTTCAGCTACAACAAGCCCAACAAGCGTCTCAACTCCGATGATGCCTGGTATGTGGAGTCCATCCAGACCAATGGTGGCAACCTCGGATTCCTGAAGCCCATCGGCAAGGGAGCCTTCTACCCCAACGGAGGAAAGACCCAGCCCGGATGCGGATTGGACCTGACTGGCGCCTGCTCCCACGGTCGCTCCACCACCTACTATGCGGAGGCCGTCAAACAGGACAACTTCGGAACCATCAAGTGCGGAGACTACGAGGCAGCCGTCTCCAAGGAGTGCGGCAGCACCTACTCCAGCGTTCGCATGGGAGCTGATACCAACGCCTACATGGTCGATGGCGACTTCTATGTGCCCGTGAACAGCAAGGCTCCCTTTGGCAAGATCAACTAATGGCTGTACAATAAAAACGACGCTTACAAAATAATTCGAATTCTTTTAAATTTTCAAATCTGAAAAGGGGTGGCAAAAAATATGGTATTTTACTCATAAGAATGGTTTCTTATCTCTCATCGCTCAATGCCAAATATACCTATACATAATCAGAGCAATGCTAAAATTCAGTTGGTTGTCATAAATCTGACAGGCTGAAAAAATTGAAAATTGATTGAGGTATGTTAGCGATGATAATATAATAATATAATGTATAATATAAAGTATATCATAATGTATTGGCACTGTGCTTTTAGCAGTAACTTCTCCGCCAGTTTCGTCAAAGCGTTTTCCCACTTTGTATGCCATGTTTGTAATTATAATTAATGAGCGAATGGCAAGCGCAATTTTGTCAGTGGCAAAGTCAACTGCCACATCTATTTGCATAATATGATAGTGGAAGGCACCACCCACAAGACGTCACCAGTAAATATTTGAATAACGAACCGCCTGCCGGAGGTGGTCTGTGTGTCCTTGTGGCCCAATTAGCACTCGAGTATGTCAAGTATTCCATAACGCGTATATGCACCTGGTGCATACTTCAATTGAAGATTGAAGTTTCACGCTTTCTACTTCAGATTCATTCAGTTAATCGTCAGATAGGATATTTTTAGAGCGAGCTCTTGACAGTCTGATAAGGAGTTTTTTCGACCCGACGGAAGTGGCCAACTTCCCACCTAGAGTTTTGTGGGCCAGAGTTTCCTAATAACAGGACGAGTAGTGTATTGTAAGCATAACAAGAAGGTAAAGCAAATATTAGTCTCACGAACGTTTAATAAGGATGAGTCCGACTATTTGCCAGCTGTTGCTATTAAATTTGCTTAATCAAACGTCAAAACCCCTATATCAGTATGTGAGCCAGTGTGCCATGAATACGATACTCTTCGATATGCTATTAATTCAAAATGCTTACTGAATCTGTATATAATAAACTATAATAAAGTTAAAGTATTGGGTGGTCTGCGGTTTGTGTTCATGTTCATACTCGCGTTATTAATTGGATTAATTACTCAATAAGCGATGATTAAGTGAAAACGGATTTTTGCCTGAAAGTATGCTGTACTTTTTGGAAAAATGTTTAAGTTGTAACTTCCGGTTAAGCGGCGTAATTGTGAAATTACACTTCCTGTTTACTGCTGCAGCAAAAAAAGATTGTTTTGCTGGTTATTTTCTTGTTTTAATGCCCCAGCTCTGCACCTTCGTTGCGTACTTCATACCACAGATTACAAACCACCAGCTGACCAAGATAACACAAGTCGAGCAAAACAAGAATGCGCTGGAGTGTTAAATTAAATGCCCATTTAATGATACCTACAATTACGTCCACTTAGCCCGACTTACAGGAGATTAAGTTAGTTGAGGACGCCAACCATTGTAATCGATAGCTGATAGTGGAGGCAACTGTTTGCTGGCATTCATGACTCGTGTCTGGATTTAAATTCCATAGTCTTTAACACCCAACAATCAAAGAATCAGTTTGCAAATCGACCACAAATGGCGCAATTGATAAGCCAATCAGCAGAAAGAAGAGCTCTTTAAAAAAAGGGGCAGTATGGCCGGCAATCAGATTAATTCAAATGTACCTAAACCTCCCAGGCAGCAAAAGTAATGCCAACCGATTTAATCATTCGGTGATAAGTTTGCCCACTGGTGAAGTATAAAAGCAATGGTTTTCGAACTGAACTACCATCAGTTGTGGACTCTACTACGTTATGAAGACATTCCTGATTTTGGCATTCTTTACCCTGGCCGGTAAAATATAAAAAACAAAATTAAATTTCTAAAAAATCCTATCTAAAATGTAACACGTCCTTTCAGCTTCGGCTATTCCGATCAAGGAATCTGAGCGCGTCCATGGGGAGAACGGCTGGTACGTTCCCCAGGAGGATGGCACTTCCGAATGGGTGGACATGGATGTTGCCGAGCAGTGGATGGAAGCCCAAGAGCTGCTGGAGGGCCGTGGCCTGACCACCGTTCCCGTCAAGTTCT